TATCTTTTATCCTTACCTAGCTTTCTTATCCATTTTCTATCTATTCCAGGGAATTATTAATTTCCTTGCATTTTGATGAACCTAGCTGGCAATGGTCCAGCAACTTTTTACCATTTTCATGAACTTGGCCGACAATGGTCTAACAGCTTCTTGCCAAATCATCTAGGTGATACTCAAGTGAAAATAAAGAGTTATGCTTCTGGTGTCATGAATATGATACGGGTTGAAGTACAGAATGGTGATGTTTTTATCAGGGATGAAAAAATTGTTGGAAACCTCCAAGGGAATTTTGGGACAAACTTCATTCTCTTATAAGAGGATGATACAGGATATATACTATACAAAATTGGTAATCTCTCCAAGGAGGTTAGTATCGTTTGATTAATGCATCTATTCTACTCTTAGCTATTTGCTTTATAATTGTTAATTTCTAGTTTTCTATATTTTTTGACCTTTTCATGTATGAGATACTAACTTGTTTTTCCTAATTAGTTTAATTAGTAATGATGGACCGAGTGAACCAAATACTTAATCTATGTGTCTCTACTAGTATTATGTACATGCCATCTTTGCTAAACCATGTTCAATTTGCTTAACTACATTATTTGGTTATGTGCTGTTAGACCATTTGTTTACAACATTATTTTATTTTATTTTGTAGTTTTCTTATCTTGATTAACCATACACATCAAACATATTAAAAAAAAACAATGAACTCAAAATTCAAGCACACCTACAATGTTTCATAACATCACATAATAAAAATTGATTCCCTTTTACATCACATTTAGCTTAAAATCATACCAAACTCACATTCAAAGTTGAGGATTTTAAATAGTGCATATCAAATTTTTATACTTCCTGATTAAACTCTGAACAACTCCTAATATGATCAAAATCTAATAGTTAGTTCCTTTTTGTTTAAATTCATACGAAAGGTATCCAAAGTAAAAAACAGAGCTAAAAAAAAAAAATCAAGCAATCAAGCTATCCCTTAACGAAACTCACATTTAAAATACTTTCAAGACAATTATATATAACTTACTCTAACAACACTATGAGAAATACACCTATCAACAAAAAATCCTAACAAAGGAAAAAAAAAAAAAAAAACCCAACGTCAAAACAAATGCACTTGTCCAAAAAATATTTTAAAAAAGAAAAAAAAAACCCACCTATAATGACCACAATTCTCAATAGATAACAACTTAACAAACCCAAATATACAAAAAATAAAATAAAATAAAACTTCACCAAGCCCTGAGACAAAAAACACATAAAACAATTCATACTAAGTTAAAAATTGAATACCCAAAAAAACTTCACCAAACCTGAAGACCAAAAAGAAAAAAGAAAAAAACAAAATCAATCAAAAACAAAATCATTACTTCATTAAAATAACATGCAAAACAAAATCTAGATTTGAGAATTAAAAAAAATTACAACAGTAATAAAAATGAACATTGTCAAAGAAAATAATAATTAAAAATTGATTTTCATCCAACTTCAAAACATGCAAAAACAAAATCTTTTAAAGAAACACATTCACAACAATATGCAAATCTTCCAACCACATAACACAAACTCCATTCAACAATCAAACTCCATTAAACAAAATTAAAATTTGTAACACCAAAATCATCAAAAAAAAAAAAAAACAAAAAAAAAAAACCCATTTTCAATCAAACAATAAAAAAAGTGAAATTTTGTACCCAAAAACAACTAAAAAAAAGAGAAAAACTCACGTAACAAAGAAGCCTGCCTTTGATGCCACAATAACTCTCTTTCAACTAAAAATAGAAAGAATCAAATACAAAAACAGACACCCATCAAAGAAAATTCTTTATCTTTATGTGAGTAACACATAAAACAGTGATAAAATAACCAAAAAATTAAAAGAAATGCTACTTCCAGTCAAAATACAACTATTATAAAAGAAAAGAAAAGTCATGTATCATACTCAGATCTTTAAGAGATATTTTTTATATAAGGTTATATTGATTTAATGCATTTAAATTTTTATTTAGAATTTTTTTAAAAATCAAATACTAATGACAAAAAAATGAAAATTCTTTTGACAACTCATGTGAGTTTAATTATTTTTATATAATGATTTCTCATCCTCTGATCTTGTAAATTAAAAAAAATATTGTTGCACTCCAACATTTTATTTAACAAATAATGCAAAATCTCTTAGTCTTTAGCCAAATTTGAATATTTTTTAATTAAAAAATTGATATATTTAAATATTTAATTCAATGTTTGGTGCATATATTTTTAGACTAAAAAAAACTGGATCCAATTATGCATTCTCAATATATAAAAAAAAAGTACCGCTATTATCCACCTCCAATTCCAAAATAAATAAATTAATTAGATGCAGTGAGTACTAAAAATCTAGGATGTATTCAATTAGCATAAGTGAAGCAAAAAGTGATATGCCCTGGTCTTTTCCTACAAAATTATTACAACTGAAGTTGTGTTGGCTTCAATGCAAATGATATGTCGTCATGCATGATGGAATGAATTTAATGACATTGATAATCAATTATTCCTTAATTTTAAATTATAACTGTCAAGACCAAACACTATTGCCATGGCCACTTTTCCAAACTACGTGGAAAGCGACCAAGTGTGTTGTCTTACACATAGAGTCCAACGACGTTTAGGTCAAATTTTAAGCCGTAGAAATTAAAATGACCATTTACAGAAGCAATGGAGCTTTCACTAGGGCAACAAGCTGCATGCATGTACAATAAATCCCAACGACAGTGAATAATGATATCCAAATAATTAGCATTTTTTGTTGTGTGGTCATTGTTATCCCCTGCCGTCAAAAGCAATGAAACATCCATTATTAAACTACAAAATATTCGCATTTAAAATTTTGATTATGATCTTAGTGAAAGAGATATGTTCTATGATTCCACCATCTTCAACAATATGCAGTTGCTATAATTTAAGTTAATAACTTTAAATCCACATATATATTTATATTCTTCATCCTGAATGCGTTTTTAATTATCAGTACTTAGCAAGTTTACTAGAAAAAATAAATAAACTAATAGAGGAATAAAAATATATGGTAAAATTTTTGCTTTAATTTGGTTGAATACATAAAAGTTAGCCAAATATTTAACATACCCCTGAATCAGAGTGAAAAGCAAATAAAAATTGATCCAATTTTCATCTCTAGCGACAGGGTGGTTTAGCAAATTTATAAAAAATTACCTTATCCAACCTTTTAGTGATTTGAATTTAGGTAACAAAGAGAGTAATATTTTTTTTTATCATTTGAATTAATTATTCACAAGTGAAAATGAGTAATTATTAAATATATTAAAAATTAAAAATTTAAATTTTACAAGTGAAGTTAAAACATAAAACATAACTCTTAAAGTATATTAAAAGAATAAAAAAATTAATTAAAAAAGTTTAATATGTGTTCATCTTTTAATTTTATTTATAAAGTTAAAAATTTTTATTAATAGTGTTTTAAATAATTCCTATTATAATTTTGTTTCAACTGATCAACAATAAAAAGAGTTGGAAAAAAAAATTAGCCGTAAAAATTGGATTCCGTTTTTCTTTCTTGTTTGGTCGATGGGAAGACTTTGTTTTTTCCTTCATGTAATTGCTTGCTTTAGTTGTATTGAAAAACTATGCTACCTGTATGTTGTTCTATCTTTTAACAATTTGCCTTTACCTTTGCCTTTGGGGCTAGCAATTTGTTCCGCGCATTAGGGCAAATGTCAAACCTAAGATAATAGCGCCAAGAAGAAGCTGATGAATGACCTGCTATATCCGTGAGTTGAGTCGGCCTATGACGTTAGACGCCATTAATATAGGCCATAGCCTCTTCTGGATTTGAAACACCCTTTGTCCTTCTAGTGCTCAGAAGCTTTTGTCTGCTCTGTTATTTGCTCCCATACAGCGGTTTTTTACCACTTTGAAAAATTTAATCCTACACAAACTAGTTTGGATTATAAAGTACAGATAAAATCATTTGAGTCTTCAACTCAATTTGTTTCATGAAAAATAATTTTCAAAAAATTATTTCTGTATTTTTAAGTATTTATTTAACAAAAAATTAATTGATCAAAAAAATAATTTATTGATTAATAAATAATAAAATTATTTTTTAAAAAATTATCTTACAAATTTAAAACATATTTTTTGATAAAAGAGCTGTTTATAAGTAAAATTCTTTATTGATACTTTTGAGCATAATTTTATTTATAAATAATATTATATTATAATATATTAATAAATAATTTACTATTAATAAATAATATAAAGAATAATAAATAGTTTTATTTAAATTTTAATAATAAATAATTTTTAATATTTTAATTGTTATAAATTCAAACATACACCCACTCAAAATTAACACTAATGTACTGTCCTTTTTTTACATTAAAATAAAAAATAAAAATAAATTTAATTTATTTATACATTTATTTTTAACGTATGACATTTATTTAATATTTGCAATTTTTTTTTATTTTCAAACTATTACTTTATTTGTATAAAAAAATTGAAACAGCTGTACGGTGATAAATTCAATATTTTTTTACCACAAAAATTTCTAAGTCATTGTTTGCTTATAGCATATATACTTTTTTGAAAGAAAGCGAGTGACTCAAGGACAGCTTAATTAAACATCTCCTAATCCGGCCTGTAAAATATGCAATAATTACACAAATTAAAGTGAAAATGCACCCACACTAAAAAGCCCTCATTTTCCTAACAATAAAGCAGAAATTTCTTAAAATTTTCCTATCATTGTATGTGCCCACTGCTCCCTGGCCTTTTGCTGGTTTGGACCTTGGACGCGGTTCGCCACCCCGACCTCTTCTCACTCCCAACTGTAACGCAGCGACTCAACTTGGAAGTTAAGCCCCACTTGATTACCTCCAAATTACAAAACTACCCCCTTGCACCGGAGATGTGCCACTTCTTGTCCATTTGGAACCTCGGACAAATCGTACCCTTTCTTTTCCCTTAACGCCACTTGACATTATCTTTTCTTTTTCCTTTCAAAAGTTTTCTATATATAAACCACACCGCAGGTTGTGTTTCACTTTCCTCTAAAGCCAAATTTCTTTGCTTTTTTCTCATCCAAAAAGCCGGCATGAAGGTCCGATCGTGGCTAAACACATGCTCGACCAGCATATGCGCCACTACCACCCACGACTCCACCATTCCATTCCCCAAAAACCCCTCACACTCACCGGAACATCTAGTTTCCGACAGCTCCTCCGATAATCGCGGGAGCGCCACGTCATCTTCAGCTTCTTCAAATGACACCAGCTACAGTAGCCTCCATAGTAACCTCTCCCTCCTGACTCTGCCGTCTGTCCCTTCCTTACAAAAGCTTTTCCCTGAGACCTTAGGCTTTTCCGTGTCTCACATCAGCGTTACTTCAATTAAGCCCCGGCCGAAGCAGCCGATCACATGCGTTGCGGTTCAGGGTAATTTATTGTATGCTGCTTCTGTCAACGAAATCAACGTTTATGACCGCGAAACCTCCACTCTTCTCGATGTATACAACAGCCAGGATTCATCCTCTGGTTCCGTCAAGTCCGTCACTTTCTGTAACGAAAAAATCTTCACTGCTCACCAGGACTGTAAGATCCGAGTCTGGCAAATGACCATGAATAAAAAGCACAAGTTTTTAATCGCTCTCCCCACCTTTAACGACCGTTTACGCCGTTTCATTCTCCCAAAGAACTATGTCTACGTACGCCGTCACGTGAAGCGGTTGTGGATTGAACACACCGACGCCGTTACAGGACTCGCCGTTAATAAAGGTCTAATCTACTCAGTTTCTTGGGATAAAACCTTGAAGATATGGCGAGCTTCAGATGTTCGCTGCTTGCAGTCTATTAAAGCACACGACGACGCCATTAACGCCGTCACCGCCTCTGCTGACGGCACCGTTTACACAGGGTCTGCCGACAGGCGGATCCGAGTCTGGGCAAAATCGTCAGGAGAGAAGTGTTACGCCTTGGTGGCAACATTAGAGAAGCATAAATCAGCGGTTAACGCACTGGCTTTAAACTACGACGGATCGGTGCTTTTTTCGGGTGCCTGTGACCGTTCGATACTGGTTTGGGAGAGGGAGGATAGCGCCAATTACATGGCGGTGACGGGAGCGTTGAGAGGACATGGGAAGGCGATACTGTCCTTAATCAACGTCTTTGATTTACTCATGAGTGGATCCGCTGATCGGACAGTTAGGATTTGGCAACGTGGAGTGGAAGGGAAATACTGTTGTTTGGCCGTTTTGGAAGGTCACCAGAAGCCGGTGAAGACGTTGACGGCAGTTAAGGAGGATGGAAACAGTGATGTGGTTTCGGTTATCAGTGGCAGCCTGGATGGGGAGATTAGAACGTGGAAGATGTCGGTTTCGAGAACCAGTAGCCCATCATCGACGACAGATGTTCCAGAATGGAATTTGTGAAATAAATAAAAGTAATTAACCCCGCAATTACATAATAAAATAAAGCAAAAATTAGCGGGCTCTGAATTTTTGATATTGGTCCTCGACATTTTATCAACAAGGATTATTTGTTTATTTTTTTTATCTGTTTGTCGAATTTTTCTTCTTTGGAGGAACCGTTTGCTTTGTAAAATATATTATTATATATATATAAACGAAAGTGAAAGATTGATCCTTCATCAATTAATTTTGTATTATTTATTTTTTATATTAATTTTAATCTTAATTGTATTTACGAATTTTATAATTTATGAATAAATTTTACATATATGAATGATGAAAACAAAACGAGTAATGATCGGAAGTCAATCCAACTAACACTCTAATATGAATCTTAAATTAAATAATTCTCAAATTTTGGTAGCAAATTAATTTAAATTCATGTTTTCGTCAATTCAATCATGGAGAAAAGTATATTCATGGAAAAGAGAAAAGATATTAAAAAGGAAAAAGAAGGACCCTCTTAGCTGCTAATATTGAAAACCAGAGAGTTGAATCTTATAGTTTAACAATTTAAAATCAACGAAATTTGGTATATTTGCACAAAAGGTTATTGCTTCCATAACCAGCGACTTGGATTCCAAATTGGAAACATTTTTTTTTTTGGGCGAAAACCAAACTACAAACAAAGCCATTTAGAAGAATAAAAATTAAGAGCGAGAAATTTAAGATCAAAGTCTGCTTAATTCCTGGAATCAGAGAGTTCATTCACATTAATTAAAATACTAATTTTTTAAATTCATTAAAATATTATCTGGATATAGTTGCACAAGCGTGTCAAATCCCCGTAAACAGCGACCAAAATTTTTACTTTTCTATAAAAATTAATAACAGCATATACATATATATATATATATATATATATTTAGAAATAATTTGATGAACGGCAAAATTGATTTTTTAAAAATAAAAAACAGTGATATGGATACAATTAGTTACTATAATTACAAGATTGACTATTATAATGTAATGAAATTATCATTAATAATATAATATATATGTGCTTAATATAAATATAGCAATAATGATAAAATTAAATGCCACAGTCACTTGTTTCAATAAGAGTAATCGATTGCTTTAAAATCTAATTAATCACTTACACTTCTCCCTTCGATTAAAAACAGGAGGGATAATGCGCTTCTGAGGCTCCAATCAATGGGGGAGTTCATTCCAAGAAAATAAATTTGAAGGAGATATGACAAAGTAGGACAGGCCTTAATATCTTAGCTGGGTGTCTGGCACTTTTGTGCTTAATTAATTAACTTATATAACTACCAATTAAATGTCTTAATCAAGCCTATAGCTAGTGAATAAAAAGGTAAATGGGCTTTCGCACATAAAGCACTGGAAACGTTAACTGGCTAATCAATCAATTGTCAAGTTTTGTTAAAAACAGTAGTGGTAGTAGTAGTTTTTTATTGGTATTATTATTAATAATATAAAAAATATATATATAGATATATGTACGTGTATGTTTATGTGTGTCTTTGTTCTACACAGATAAGGTAATGGCACATAAAATAATTTATCCTCAGTAACTGATGATAATTGTTTTGCCATTTTTCCCGTAATGCATATATGCTTACATCCAGATTAAGAACATGAGTCGTGCATGCATGCATGCATCACTGAAAGTATCATCAGTTGACCGTTAACATGTTTGATTCTGTAATTATTTGGACTGCATTATAATCTACATTGTTTCTGTTTAGTTCTTGTTCCGATGGTGGTTCTATCCTTGAGAAATTCTGAGAAGCTATTGAAATTTGAAATCAACTTAGCACTTTGCAGGTTGGCAACTATCACCTGTTCTATTCAATCTTTTTACGCAGATTTTATGTGAAAGTGTTTACACCATATAGAATTTTCCATCCGTTGGAGGAAAAGTTAGAACATATATATATTCACTTGAATAATGCAAGAAATAATGGTTGGGAAATTATTCAAATAATCAGTTTGTAAGGACGGATGACAGCTCGTGAGTTCTTGGTCCCTTGTCCTCCTGATTGTACACTAAAGCATCCGGTCAAATGTACGTGACAAATACTTATCGAATTTCAATCAATTTCCTGGAAAAATCATTGCACAATTCCTGATTAATTTTCTTCTAAAGGTTAGAAGACAAAAAGGTCAATGTCAAATGTCTCACTTTTTGATTATTTAGCCTTAGATCGTCTTCTTCTAATTCTACAACGGTAGTGGGCGTCCTTTTCCCAACCAACACTTAACCATGAAAGTCCCCTCTCTGGCTTTGAAGTTTGAACATTACAAAAAGAAGCTTCTCCTTTTTTGCCCCGTCCTCTAGCTTTGTATGATCGATCTTAAATCAATAATAATCGTTAAAGACGACAAAAAATGTTTTTGTCAAAACGCTTTAATGGCACACCTATTAATGTTTTGTCCAAATGGTTGAATGGCACACCTATGAATGTTTTTCTTGGTTGATTTAATTTTAACACAAAACAAGCCCACGGTTTACTTTTCTAGTACGTTTAAGTACCACTGAAAAGTGAGAAGATGCTAATTTTTGAAGTTGTTTTCACACTTGGTGTGAGAGGAGGAGGAAGTTGATACAAGCAAGTTGGCAAGTTGGATAAAATGGTGAGAAAAAGGTGTAAAGCTGGTGATAAGAGCTATCTTGAGCTAAGATCATTAGTCATTGCTTCGAGCAAGAAATTAATGGAAACAAATTGACGCACGCCTCATCTTCTTCTTGATGTTCATGGTCTAACGGACACATTATGATGAATATTATTATTCCTTAGCTGGGAAATTGCTTGCTGTTTCTTGGCTAAGAAAATTTTGTCTATAAATTATGTGACATATTTGATGATGTAGCTATAGAAATACTTAAATATATCATAATTATCTAAACGCATTAGCAAGTGAATATGACGTAATAGCTCATAATTCACAACTTTATAATGTAATACCCACGAACTACAAATCAAGCAATTCATCTATATGGTACATGCACCAAATGCATTTATCAATTTAAAATTAAAAAATATACATAGCAGCTTATTTTTATATTTTTCACATGTACTCAAGTTGGCTATGGAGCAACAGTTAATATTATATTACCAACTTGCTTATATTATGAAGATATGGAGTATGAATTTTTTATAAAGAAAGCTGTAGCGTTGGGATAAGCAAAAAAATAATAAATATTGAGATTTAAATTTTAAATTTTTTTAATATCATTTTTAAAAGATAATTATATAAATAAATTATATTAAGGCTCGGATTATGAAAATATTAATGTTTGAATGCATGAAAGATGTTTTATATTGACAACTGTTACAGCCTACAAATTAATCCACAAATTATGAAGATTTAGAAATTAAATATAGTAGTACTGTAGTAGTCAGCGTAGAAAAATGTGCATGACTAAGAACTCAAGAAGATGGGAACAATAAATTAGTTATACCATCTTGTCTTACTCGTAATCACCTGCAGCGATCCATAAGCTTTGTTTAATGCGTTTAATTAGCTGCATAAACTAATCTAATTAATGCAATATTCGCAAGTTTGTCTTGTGGCTTAATTATTAAACCTTATTGAAGGAACCAATCCAATAATTAATAATTAAGGAGTTTCTTAATTATCTTACACGAGAACTAAACAAATTAGTGCAAACACGTGAAGTTGTCTGTTGATTTGTCATTTTTGTATTCAATGAAATAAACAAAGCAAAGAGTTATTAATATATAAAGCACCAATGCCTATGAAAATGGTTTGTTTAATGAGATGGTTTAAGTCAACTCATGTATATCAGCCATAATTTAACATTAAAAAAGTAGTTCAAACTAATCTCAAGTTACACTCATTTGGACCTAAGTGCTAATTAATGTGAAAATTAGCTGTAAAACAGCTTAATTACCTTTCTCGTTTTTTGACTAAGATCAAGCGTAGCATTTTATTTTTTTCAGTTTAGTTACCTTCCATCATATCTACTTCTCTACCTGACTTTATATCCATAACTAATGGTTTATGATCAGTTTAAGTAGCAGGAATATATGACTAAACAAGATGAGAGTTGCAGAATTATTCATTCTGCATCAGACAATCAGCGGTCATTTCATTGTTATTTGACCAAAAGCAGTGGAGCAAGCAATGAACTCTGCCTTAACTGATGGGCCATGGAAGACTGTAAAATAAAGAGTTCTTCCTGAATCCCTGACTGGTTGACATTACTTACCATATGAGATGCTTAAAATACATGTACAGTGCCTTCAATTTGAAGCAACTTGCTCCAAATTTCATAAACTATATACACCAAACAGTACCAAACGTAATACAAAATATACTTATAGTTATACACTTCCAGAATCCTAAACTGAGGCAATTATAATTATAATGATCACCCTACATGATGAAATTCATAATCTCAAGAGATCCATTAAATAATGCCATGATTGGTGCTTGAAAAGGTGGTCATAGTATTCAAAGAAGAATTACAGTATTTCAAGTTGCACCATCAACTTGCCAACTTGCTATCTCTCTCAAAAGAGAAATGGAGTCTGCGACCATTTTGTTTATATAAAAACAGTCAAAACGTTTTCTCCCAAAAGAAATATGGCGCAAGCCTCCTCCACAGAATCGAGCACGCTGAAATTCTGTCATGTCTTTTTTCTTGAAACTTCTATTTGTGAAATTTGTGCCCACCATTGCTGCTTTATTCTTTATCTGATAAGGGTTTCAAACCTGACAAGAAATAAATAAGCAATATATCCTTTTTAGTCGGGGTCTCTTCTTTTCTTAATAAAACTCTGTGCCGTCTTCAACGATCCACGAATCTTGAATTGCAAGATATAAAGAAATTGAGAAGCTTATTTTATGCAGTTGTGAAACAAGAACCGTCAGGTTGTTTTCTTGATGATTATTGTTAACAGTTAAAGATTGCAAAATATCCATTAGTGTTTTTTCCTTCCTCATAACTATAGTTTTCATGGGTTAAATTGACGGATGCGAAATTGAAATTTGAAGATTAAGACCAGATGAAAGAGATATGCTTAATGATAAATTGATAATGGTGATCATTGCTATCATCAATTCGTCTTTTGTGATATGTGTTAAAAGATGATTAATAATCATTAAATGATCCAACCATAAGAAAATAAAATCAAAATTGTTGGACCAAAT